TATATCTCTGATGATTCAGTTATCTGATCATAACAATTTTCGTATTCCTGTGGTAAAAGATAGAAATCCCTTTTATATAACTCCAAATCAATCATCTCATTTCGACCGATCTCTTTAAAGATTGGTAAGCGCTTTATAACTTTAATATGATCTTTAGAATAAGGGTTAGTACCATGCAAAGAATTTAAGTATTTTATAAATATATCTGCTTCAGATGAGTCCAAATTGCATGTTCCATTTGGGTTCAATGATGATAAAACTGATTTAATATCACTTATATCACGAATATAATTAGAGAGCCTATACATATAAGTTAGTGTAAAAACTATGAATATATCATACTCATTATTAAAGGCAGATAAATACCATAAATAATTAGCACCTACCTTTTACATGAAGAAGTTAAACTATTTTCAAATTTCACATTTATGAAAACTATGCCTAGCTTTTTTAGAATAGGATATACTTGAGTTTTGGATCCATTAAAAAAAGATTTTACTTTGAGTTTTCTAAGAGTATTGTTATTTGTTGGAATAATGTGAATATTTTCAAAAAGAGCCAAATCAGTATCACTATCGCATAAATACTTCCAGAGTTGAATAATCCACTCGAGAGGCTTATTCATCTTAATTTCGATATTGTTAGAAGATGACAGAGAATCTTTAACTAGATGAGCAATGGTCTGCTCATTTAACATTTTAATATTAAAAATCCGTTTTTTTTCTAGCTTGACCAAACAGTTCGATAAATTAGGTGGGATATCTTTAGCAATGAGCCGGTCCGAATATTTATTTAAAATCTCACGCAGAGCATTTTCATTTTTATCGGCTGGAAATAAGTAAGTAACCAAACTATCGTTTCTTAATTCATTGAACTTTCCGTTGGCCAATGGAATCATTTCTAAGCCTTCCAACATTCTATAATTTTCACAATTCTCATCATCGATTAATAACGATATATAATTAAATAATTTCAAAATCTCTTCATCCGCCAATTTATCCTGCAATTTTCCTAAATTTCCTTGATTTTTATTATAATTATCACGAAGAAATTTGCTAACGCATTTTGGAGAGTAAAATCTTATCTTCTTCTTGAGTTTTAATTCTTTTATAATTTCAATAATTTCGTTAGGAGCATAGATAACTCTAAATCCGATCTTGTCCAATATACTTTGCATATCAGATCCATCAGGTTCGGATGATTCATCTTTAAAACATCCTTGTGAGATCGATAACATCTCTCTAGATCCGTAGAAAACCTCATCATTTGCATCAAGCTTATGTATCACATTTCTTAGAAGGTCTCTAAAGTAGCTGGATGTCAAAATTTTTGTTTTGATTGGAATCGGCCAAAATTCATAATAATCATCTTGAGACACACTTTGAGGCAAATTTATATACGATTTGAGCTCAACAAGAAATTTCACCCAAGCATGTGATAAAACCTATAAAAGTTTGTAATATGAATTTATTTATAACCAATCGTAATTTTAGAATAGTTACTGATAAAATTAATTACCTCTTCGAAAAGATAGTTATTCCATTTAACTTTAAATTTAGCCGAAGAATTTTCAGTCTAAAACAAAAATAAATATAAATATTTTTATCAACACTATTGTAGTTACCAAATAATTAAATATGTAATTAGTAATTACCGAATCATTGTTATCATTAGAGCATAATG